AGAGACAGGGTGACTGAAAGAATTCCCTTAGAGAGACAGGAATATGCAAAACTGATCAACGGAGATGCTCAGGCACTGATTGACACATGTAAATAATGGGTTGAAAGATGCAAGGAGATAACAGAATTCCGTAAGAGAAGCGGAGCTAAACACAAGTCGAATGCCTTGAGGAACGCAGACGCGTCAACACAGTACGTCAGGAGACGTGCACAGGGAGAAAGACAGCGCAGGTTTTCACAGGTGTGCTGCGAAGCTCTCGGATGTATTGTCGGGTCGTAACGCGAGTTGTTTGGCACAAAGACTGACATTTCGCTCTCAGCACGTGCAGAGAAACATCTGACATCATGCCAAACAACACCGGCTAAAGCTCGAAAACACACATCAGAAGAGGGAATTTATTGCCAAAGAAAGACAACGTCTTGATGGAAAGGCGAATGATCAGGAGACAGATAACTGATCGGCAATTTACATATTGCTTTAGTGAGAAAAGGGTGTCTTGAGGATTTGGAATGAATGGCAAAAGAATGTTTATAGAAACGGAAGAACTTTAAAAAAAAATCCAATTGTTGTAAGGAACAGACCAACATCTAGGTACGACGTGTTAACCTATACAACGCAGGGCATACTCTACAGTCTGCACTGTAAACGTGTGCGTATAGAATCCTTCGGCTGAGAAGAATTCCAGAGAAGCGTTTGGCAGCCTGCAGCGCGCGAGACACAGACGCGTTTCACCCTCATGAAGGCTCATCAGCAGACCCACAGCTCCAGCTGCCCTCCAATGGGGGAAGAGCTGCCTGTGGGTTGGCCAACGTGAGAGCGATTCTCCGCTAAGGTGAGCGCACTTGGGTGGTGCCAAAGGGACATTTGGTGGTGCAGGGCCCACCCCGGCATCCTCATAGGGCCAGCCCTGCTCACCGGCGACGTCAGCGGCCTCCACTGCGCCACAATGAGCACAACGTTTAATAATATAATGTTGCTGTCCACATACATGCACGGACCATTGTCATTCTACTGCTGGATGAAGGCTTCCCCGTGCCAAGCAATGCGGGTTGTTGAGGTTATGCCGACTCCGCTTTTGGCATGCTGATCATTAGGGGTTGGTGAAGGTGGGGAGCATATATGCAGGAGCATATAAGTACAGGACAACAATGGATGTTTAATTCACTGCACTCAGCTGCTCACAATGTAGCCCCAGAACGTGTAACGCCTGTTATGCATAAGAGTCATCTTTCCCCAAGCACTATCCAGGTTCAAATATGCTGATCTTCTGACACCTGCTGAGATCGGGCGCTTTCGGGGTGAGTTTGGCCATGGGCTTAATAGTATGAGAGTACTTTATATCTTTTGTTTATAACCCGCTTAAGCAGCGCTATCAATCTCGCCGTTCTGTACGTGCTTACAACTTTCAATGCCATCCCCCCCCGCCTCCCTGCCCCAACAGATGACTCCCGGCTTTTGTCCCTGCTCGGCAAACCACACTCTGTGTTGCCTTGGAAGTGGCATGCCTGGGTGCGCTGATGAAGGTGAAACACATACATGCCTCCAGAGTCGCTGATTATTACCTAAAGCCAATCTCACTAATTACATTTTGTTTCCCTCTACACTTAACAGCAGAGGCGCACCGGGGGTTAAATGCCATGGACAGCTGATCTCAGCTCAGGACGCACCAGATTGGGTTTTTTTTCTCTCCACTGCAGAACCCAAGTCATGTTGCTGATGTTACATGTGTAGAGAGATGTCCTGTCAAAAATAATTGGCTAAAGCGATGGGGCTCTGGGGGAAAAGTCTGCACCCACATACGTAATGGACAACATGTGTGTACAGGCAATTTGATGAGTGGATTGGATAATTGGGAATTAATCGGAGGGTTGCAGAACTGGTTGGGACTATATAAGGACAGAGCAGGGTGCAGTCAGGGAGTCTTCTGATTTAGAGGCTGGAGCTGCTGTGGCCGTAAATTGTGGTGGTTGAAATAACGAATATATAGTCTACAATCTCGACTCGGGGAAATCCTTTAAAGTGTACTCGCTGATGCCAAGTGCAATGGAAATTATTAACCCAGCTTCCTGGCCTATGTTTGGATTCGGATGTATTTTGAGGCCAGAGTTTTACAGATTTAATGGGCAAATACTATTGGCAAAACCACATTAAACCACGAGGGTCCCATGCAGACTCAGCTTGGATGTACGAGTGGTAACGGAGTTAAGACCGTCTCTGGGGACAATTCACCGTCAAAAAAAATATCTCCAGGATAATCGTTCCACCATCATCGTGCAAAACTTGGTACCAAAGTTTGGTTACCATTTTTTTTTTTTTGCTAGGAAAGGGTGGAGCACAATTCCTCACTGAACCTGACGGCTAAGAATCAGCTAGGGGAAGGAGAAGAGCACTCTACCATGGGCATCGTGACACCATGACACGAGCACCGCCCACGGCTCATGCTGGACATTTTAAGCAATTCTATGGCTCTGTCTCCAGCTACACCCTAACCCTGCCCACCTTGATCCGTTCCACCATTGCAGGCTGCGTCACGGCAAAAGTTGGCCGAGTTTCCACAAAAACAGCAGTTATTCCACCAAAACGGGGTGGAATAACAGTCTAAATAGCTTCATGTGAATCGAGCTCTTTGTCGGGCAAAAGATCAAGCTAGGTTCGTTAGTTACTGAATTTCAAATTCGAGGCAGGAAAGACGTTACTTTTATGAATTAAAAATATGTATTTCTTTTTTTCTTCCATTCACTGCAGCTCCATGATACACGCCTCGAATAGCGTGCGTGAGAGTCAACATTTTTGAATTCGTATGCTTTACATGCCGGGCTACGTAGAGGTAGAGCACAGGACGGTACAGCAAAATGAAATGTTGTGTTGTATTTCTATGCTCCCGCGTCTGTGTTCCCTGCATTGTCTGAGCAGAACTGACCGGCGTGGTGGTGAAGAATATGGTCACATAATCCTCCACGGCCTGCACGCCGTGAGGAAGCCCTCATCCAGCAGTGGACTAACAAATATGTCACACGTGTATGACTATATTGATGTAGAAACAATTCCACAGCCTGGTGCAGCATGGCAAGCTAAGAATACAAAGTCTTTGGGTGCTGGTGGTGGTGGTGGTGGAAAACCCAACACATCACATCACATTATAGAAAGTAAAAAAAAAATCACACATGATCCATCACTTGAGTCTCTCCTCTCAAGTAACAACAACAAGGTATGTTCACGTGTTCCAAAACCACGACAGCCCGGGCATTGTCGTCATCATCAGCCGTGGTGGTTAGCAGACGCGAATGTTGGAATAAACTTGCTCAGGAAGTTTCGCCCGAGTTGTGCTCAGGGATGAATACGAGAAAAACAAACGGCGCCAAAGGAAAGACGCCACGCAAGTTCGCTGCAACAATTGGAGAGAGAGAGAGAGAGCGTTTGCAGGGACACAATGGGAAATATCACGCCGAAATCATGTGCGTACTTGTCCCAACGCACGAAGACAGCGATCCCACCGCGAAGCCTCTAACGGACTTTTGGGGCGAGCGCTGTTAAGCGAGCGATCGCCTGTGTGAAAGGGGAATGCTCGTTTTCGTCCCAGGAGAGGACCGGTGTCAAATCATCGTAGATGGCGTTGTTGGAACCGTGAGCAGGAATCGAACTCGGCTTATTCCACCGCACTTGTATCCATCTACAAGAACTGCTCGACAAAGACGTCCCAACGTTTTTTTTTTTTTGGGGGGGGGGGGGTTCGTTTGACCAGCAAGTTGACAACGACGGGCTTAGTCGGTGCGAGTTGATGAGAGGATGATAAGCCGCGGGTGGGATCTGGGATGTAACTCGCCGCTGACGTTGTTAGCCAGCCGTGGACAGGAATCAAACTCAGGACACCGGGATTCTAGGGTAGCGCCCGGTAACCGTTGCGCGACCCCTATCTCTCTTTCTTCTCTCTCTCTCCATACCCATGCGTGCGCTTGCAAACACTCGGGTAGATACGCGAGCCACGTGGGGTTAAACTCAACCCATTATCTCTCAGGTCGATAAAACGGTTACTACTTTGTGAGAAGTCAATGGGAATGTCTCATTTCTGGCGCTAGCTCTGGCTATGTACTTACACGCACGACAGTACACACACACACGTGTACAACTAGACAGAGCAACCACAGCACACACACACACACGTGTTACTGTGCCAATTAAAGCTCAAACTCACACGTACTGCCTGGAAAGCACTTGTGACGAGCATATAGGGGAGCACACATAGACTGAGAATCAACACCGTTATTTGTGAGAACACAAGTCTACAATTACTCACAACAGCACGTTTCTTTTATACACGATGCAAATACACATGCAGCAAGCATACTCTCTGTGGGGCACAATACTCGCATGGTACACACACACACGTGCATGTGCAAAAGCACACATACACAAGTTCACATACTCGTTCTCCCAAGACGTCTGGCCTGTGTGGAAGAGTAGGCAAAATACCGTCTAGAGAGGGGCTCATTCGCTCCCTCTGAAGCCCCATATAGTGGGAAGGCCCTTCCGCTGGCAGTGGCATGAACAAGAAATTAGAGGGCTGCGCCTTTACCTTATACATCTACAGCACTTGCATAGCGCACGCACACACGTGTATATATGTACATGTGTGTACATATAAGGAGGCTTTGGTATCTACATACCATATGGAGAATACTCTATACTTCTCAACAGTATGTATATATCACGCGTACATCAAGAATTTCAACACATAAAGCGAATGGAATACATGTAGTAAACACAGATCTTACCACAATACAGTATTTGTAGTACTAGTAGTACTGTATACGACTATCCCAACACACACAAACAGTACACATGGGAAATGTCCGGTAAACGTACACGTGTATTAAACACACATACTGTGCTCGTGTACAAAGTGACACTGTTACACGTACATCGCAACGCATACGCTGAATCATAGTCCTTTACGCGTGGGTGGTGAACACACCACGCGTAAAGACAACCAGAGCACTTACCAAATAAGAGTCCCTTCGAACAGCCTGTTGAACTCTTGAGTGTGTCCACTGCTGATGTCTTCTCTCCCCTCTGTCTGTCTCTCTCTCTCTTTGCCTCTCGCTCGCCCTGCCTCGCTCGCTTCCTCCTCCCTGGGACTGCCAGGGCGCGTGCCACAGGGATGATTGAAAGGGGTGGTGGTGGTGGCTGGGCGAGTGGTGGGGAGGTGGGGGGGGGGCGGTCAGAGTTGTGGGGTAGGGGAGAGAGGAAGAGGGGAGGAGGTTCCTAAGAGAGGGGGAGGATGGTTTGTTTGTTGGTGGGTGGGTGGGGGATGTCAGAGCAAGGGAAGAGAGAGAGAGAAGGAAGGAGGGGAGAGACGAAGCGGGTGTGGTTGGAGATGAGAGAAGCGAATGGAGGAGTGCTGGGGGTATTTAAGGAGGGATTTGGGAGTTTTTGGTGTACCTCCCAATTTTGTGCGTGTGTTATTACGCTCTTGTTGTGATGTATGTACGGACATTTTTTTTATTTTGTTTTGTGCTATATGTGCGGTACGTTGTGTGGTGCTGTGCAGCAACATCAAGTAGTATTTTACTGGACCTGTCTGGTCCCACATCTCAGCTCCCTTCACTAACCCGCACTCACCAGCGTAGTGAAGTAAGGTCAAATAATCCTCACGTCGACCTGGACGTCGCGAAGAGGATATCAGTGGATTGAAAAGTACAATTAAGTACAAGTGAGCTGTGTCATGACAAACATGCCAGTGCAGTTATTGCCATATTTATGTACGGTACTCCCAACAGTGGGATTTAGGCGTTGGAGTCTACATCCACATTTTTCAAATTACATTTTTCCTTTCGTGTGTTTGAGAGAGAGAGAAAAAAGTGTGTATTTCAACTTCAAATCCGGATTTGTTCAAACTTCAAACATCGAATTATTCAGAAAATTCTAACACCGAATGTCACATCGTAGGGGCCAATAATACACTAGCAGGGCAGTAACAACACGAATAAAACAAACCCCAGAAACTTGTTCATAAACCACCAAAGTTGAGTTACGCACGCGGAGATGAAAAAAATAATCTACCGAATCGTTTTATATTTTTTGTACAACAGCCTTTCACGGATCCAAAACATGCCGCCTTAATAATTAACACGCCTTATAACAGTACATTAGTTTAGTACGGGTTTTGATAAGAGCTGAAGTAGGGCCATTACCCGAAACGTTATCCTACTCCAGTACATTAACGATTATCTTTGACCCTATTGTCCACTCTTTGCCATTGTCGGCGCGCTCGGGCCGATGCGGGAATCTTCCTCTTTATCCACGAGTTTTGTCTTCCTCTTATCGGTTGCGAGATGTTAACGACCTCGCCTGTTATGCAGGCAGCCGTGGGTTCGATTCCGGCCCTGACGCCTGTATATTTGGAGCTTGCATGTTCTCCGCACGGTCGCGTGGAATTTTCTTCGGGTCTCCGGTTTTTCCCTCCACATTTAGAAACATTCATTAGAGTGTTTGGCTGCTAAAAATGTCCACGTGATAAGCCACTTCGTTGAGCTGTCATTTGTGGCCAGGTCGCTTCTGAAAAAGAGCCGTATAGCTCAGTGTGCCTTGCCTGGTAAAATACAAAGTTCAGAGATGTATGTACGATGAACTTCTTTCGTACCGTACGTAGACAACCGTGATAATCGGAGGTGCGGGGGGGGGGGTAAGCAAAGTAGTGTGATGCGTCAGATTAATCCGGTTATCCGCAGGTAAGAGGCACACCTGGAATATTTTTTCCGCTGTTTATAATTCATCCCATTATTACGTGATGATGGTAATAATGATTCATTGATTAAGTTGATGAATTTATAACAATTGTCATAATGGTGGAGAAGACGCTGAAGATTATCATGACATTCCACTGTTGTCATCTGGACACTCGACCGCTCCACACTAAATCTCTTCTACATCGTCCTATTATCCGCAGATTTTGCGGATAAGAGGAATTCGTGCAGTAAATTCACCCCACGGTATGTTTTCATCTGCGGATGTCACCCAGAAGCGTCCTGCTGAAAGTACGTCATGCACTCGAATGTCCGTGACAGATTTTTTTTCAAGGATACTAAGAACTGCCCCACAAAATCACCATTGCTTCCAAGTTCATTCATTTCACGAAGAGAAGAGAAGCACCTCTAGTTTATGGATAAAAGGATTGTCCAATAGTTATCCCATATCGCGGATTATAAGAGTTTTGATATATTGTCCTGCTAAAAGTCAGTACGATTGACGAACGTGGTCCCTAAGTCACTGATGATACAACCCATTTAAGATGTATTTGTTCCGGTTCATAGAAACCTTGCCAGATAAGAAAACAAAAACGCAGGAGGGTCGTGAGACGCGTCCAAGCAAACATATAACCACCGGATGCGCACCGACTTTTGTCGATGACATCGTCCCATATACAAACATCGACATTAAATTTTACTTGTAGCTCCTGCAGCCAAATTCTGTGGCGTCGTGGGGTACAGAATAATGGTGAACCGTGGTGTTAGCGGTTTTCGCACAACGCTGCAATTTCGGGGGATCGGGGTCCATACAACTGGTCATAGGCAAAGGAAAACAGGGGAGCATTTAACTTCGAATTGGTCAGGGTAGGGAGTCGACAGCATGGAGGGAAGCAATATCGAAACTGCGGGAACAGCAGATGCATACGAGTGACTTTCCACTGAGCGAAGGTTGACGGGCTTCGACGGGAAATCAAGTAAAGTGATTCATGTGACCGTCTGCAGGGTCCTACAGAGATTGTGAGTCATGAGTCTGAAATCACGGAACATGTCTGTGACGTTGTAGACTCGCATATTTTATAGAATGGTTCTAGAGCAGGGGTGGGGAACTTTTTTCTGCCGAGGGCCATTTGGATATTTATAACATCATTCGCGGGCCATACAAAATTATCAACTTCAAAATTAGCCTGTTATATTTGGCGAAACATTTAATTAACTCACCCCTAATGCGATGGCTGGAACTGCCTCTCTTCGGTGAGGCGTGTGATGATGTTAGCTGGTATTGATGATGTTGCTACTCACAACTGCTTTTCCAGGTTTGCTCCTAGACTTATTGAATTTCGAGTCCCGCCTGCGGTTGCCTTGGCAAGGCCAGACCAAATTTTTATTTCGCGGTGCCTTATACGGCCCACGGGCCGGACATTCCCCACCCCTGGTGTAGGGGTACGATTCAACCTTATTCAATGCACTGGTCGGAGGCAGAGGGAAATCGGAAAGCTTTTGAGTCTGTATTGAACGGGTGCAAGGGAGTCGACAATATGTATTGCTGGGGGAATGATCTTCTAGAATATACAGAAGGAGCAGAGGAGAGCCAGCGACGGTCTCACTGAGTGAAGGTTGACTTGAGGGCTTCGAGAGGAAATTAACTTCAGGTGTTCTGTGCGTTGTCCTAAAGGGTGAGTCACAAGTCTGGACCCGTGGGGAATTTCTGTAACGTTGAAGACTCACCTGCTCATAAGACGTGTATTTATAGAATGGCTCTTGACGTATACGACTCATCCTGAAGTACCCGAATGCACTTCCTCTCGACTTATGCTTTGCATAAAGGACGAGCTGTGAGCTAAGTGCTGACGCATTAGCCACTGATGAGACATAATTCATACTCGGTTAAACCAAAAGTATTACGTACATTCGGCAGTGCTGCAATTACCGGAGTCAATTACAGGATTACAGGAACGCGTATTTAAACATGTGACAAACATTGCACATAATACTCTGTTTACAAAATTACAAATCTGTTGTAGTTTATTAACCTGAGACGTGTGTTTATATTTGTCCCTAAAAATAACTTTCTAAATGTTGTTCATTTTAAGTTGACATGCCTTAATGTTATCTAGCTATCTTCATTTTCCAAAGTTACGGTACTGTGTTTTGATTGAACAATTGTGTTGTATAGATGTGTTGTGCCCGTGTCTATCCACACCCTTAACTCTTGACGAGACACAATCGTAGTGACGTCGCCAGACCGTAACAACGGCGCGACTGAAAGTAATTTTAATGAACAAACATTTTCTCCCTCTCGAAAGAAGCTTCGAACTCGTTGTCTGGCAGCGCCAAACCTAAATACATCAACAACGCATGTTTGGGTCCTCCATTATGTTTGTCCGTAAACAGGTGAAGGCCCCCCCCCCCCTCCCGTGCGTGAGCTTTCTCCAGGTACCCTGGGTTTCTCCCCTTTTTCGGAAATGAATTGCTTCATACATATCCTCTTTTGAAGGAATGTATGTTCGGTAATGCTTTCTCGGAGTCATTATAATTGTATAAACTACATATTTTGCTGTGCAACTTTTTTGTACACACGATCACTAGTCTAAGCGCATACCTTTTTTTAAACGAATAACATGCAATTATACAAAAAAAGCGTATTCTTCAGGCACATCGGTATGTTGCTTTTCATGATTCCGTTCACTTTTCCAAAAGCATCTCCAAACTACCTCGATCTGGCTCGCCTCTTCATTTCATAATTTTATCCCATGGACGCCTTCAATAACTGTCCTTCGGTATACAGAATTAGAATCTGTGTTTATACTGGAGGACTGCTATACGAGCTGTGAAACGCTTTTTTCACAGACGTCCACAGTATATGCATACATAACGTACGCTCACGTTGTCTTCTAGTTGTGCCGGTCGACTTGACGTGATTATTCTTGTGCTCATGCAAGTGTTTCCTGCATCATCGACGGAGAACGTAAGCTTAAAAACACATTCGTCAATAACACTGTGGCCTTAAACGGAAACATAATAGGCGACGTTTTAGACAATGGCCCTTCATAACACATAAGCCAGATAGGAGGGGATGAGATTTGGAGACAGCATTTTACACTATGGGGCTTGATAATAATTAAATGTTATGTTTCCCAATGGACAGTGTCTTATCTCAGGTCAGTTCCTGAAGAAGCTATCATCACGTGTAGCGAAACTTCGGACATCATGCCAAACAACACTCGGTACAACCCGAAAACATCGATTTTTGTTTTGCTTATCAGGCCCTATGGTGCGCAGTGCAGTTTTCAACTCATATGCACTCTGTCTCTCTGGCCTCTCCATGTATGTGCTATGAGAAAGGGCCGTTACCCGAAACGTCGCATGTTATATATGTCATTAACGAATGTGCTGAGTTTTTTGTTGTTATTTGTACTTGCGCATCACCGCAAACGCAGCAGCAGCATCATCTGATCACATGCTTTGTCTTTCGCGTTCATCTTCTCGAACAATTGTGCAGTGTTGAGTTTGTGTATTGGGTGAATGGTTGATGGTTGGAGGGGCATGGGAGGAGGAAGGGCCAGGGGAGGAGGACACTGCGCGATTAGGGGCAGAACAATGAAGTCCTTGTTGTGGTGCAGAACGGTGGACTTTGAGCTCCCATACCCATGTCATTCATTTAAAAACTAATCGCGCTGAATCCTCGAATTTTGCTAATGGATAGCAGGCTACATTAACTCAAAACAAGATAGACACCTGATGATGATTGCTTGTGTTGCAATCGAAACGTCGTGATAATTTTATTGTTTTATATTTTTATTATTTTATGATAGATACAGTTAATCTCCCGTCGCGAAAGCCTACGTGTTATACTAATCTCCCTTTAGAACCGATTCGTCGTCTTCTTCGTACGGCTGATATTGACCTGGAGCTGCAAGGAAACATTTTACATTGAGGTGGAGCATGAGCCAGATGATTGCGTCAGGGAGTAGCAGATTGTATCGATGGGCACCACGGTGGCTAGGTGCTACAGTGAGGGAAAACAAGTATTTTATCCCCTGCTGATTTTGTACGTTTGCCCACTGACAAAGAAATGATCAGTCTATAATTTTAATGGTATGTTTATTTGAACAGTGAGAGACAGAATAACAACAACAAAATTCAGAAAAACGCATGTCAAAAATGTTATCAATTGATTTGCATTGTAATGAGGGAAATAAGTATTTGACCCCTCTACAAAACATGACTTAGTACTTGGTGGCAAAACCCTTGTTGGCAATCACAGAGGTCAGACGTTTCTTGTAGTTGGCCACCAGGTTTGCACACATCTCAGGAGGGATTTTGTCCCACTCCTCTTTGCAGATCTTCTCCAAGTCATTAAGGTTTCGAGGCTGACGTTTGGCAACTCGAACCTTCAGCTCCCTCCACAGATTTTCTATGGGATTAAGGTCTGGAGACTGGCTAGGCCACTCCAGGACCTAAATGTGCTTCTTCTTGAGCCACTCCTTTGTTGCCTTGGCCGTGTGTTTTGGGTCATTGTCATGCTGGAATACCCATCCACGACCCATTTTCAATGCCCTGGCTGAGGGAAGGAGGTTCTCACCCAAGATTTGACGGTACATGGCCCCGTCCATCGTCCCTTTGATTCGGTGAAGTTGTCCTGTCCCCTTAGCAGAAAAACACCCCCAAAGCATAATATTTCCACCTCCATGTTTGACGGTGGGGATGGTGTTCTTGGGGTCATAGGCAGAATTCCTCCTCCTCCAAACACGGCGAGTTGAGTTGATGCCAAAGAGCTCCATTTTGGTCTCATCTGACCACAACACTTTCACCCAGTTGTCCTCTGAATCATTCAGATGTTCACTGGCAAACTTCAGACGGGCATTTATATATGCTTTCTTGAGCAGGGGGACCTTGCGGGCGCTGCAGGATTTCAGTCCTTCACGGCGTAGTGTGTTATCAATTGTTTTCTTAGTGACTATGGTCCCAGCTACGTTGAGATCATTGACAAGATCCTCTCGTGTAGTTCTGGGCTGATTCCTCACCGTTCTCATGATCATTGCAACTTCATGAGGTGAGATCTTGCATGGAGCTCCAGGCCGAGGGAGATTGACAGTTATTTTGTGTTTCTTCCATTTGCGAATAATCGCACCAACTGTTGTCACCTTACTTATTGGTTTTTTCGGTAAGGTCACGTATGTAGAAATACAATAAAATTATATTAAAACAATCACGACGTTTCGATCACAATGCAAGCGATCTTCATCACCTTCTCACCAAGCTGCTTGGCAATGGTCTTGTAGCCCATTCCAGCCTTGTGTAGGTCTACAATCTTGTCCCTGACATCCTTGGAGAGCTCTTTGGTCTTGACCATGGTGGAGAGTTTGGAATCTAATTGATTGATTGCTTCTGTGGACATGTGTCTTTTATACAGGTAACAAGCTGAGATTAGGAGCACTCCCTTTAAGAGTGTACTCCTAATCTCAGCTCGTTACCTGTATAAAAGACATCTGGGAGCCATAAATCTTTCTGATTGAGAGGGGGTCAAATACTTATTTCCCTCATTAAAATGCCAATCAATTTATAACATTTTTGACGTGCGTTTTTCTGATATCTTTTTGTTGTTATTCTGTCTCTCACTGTTCAAATAAACCTACCATTAAAATTATAGACTGATCATTTCTTTGTCAGTGGGAAAACGTACAAAATCAGCAGGGGATCAAATACTTTTTTCCCTCACTGTAACTACTTCGCCGGGTATGCGGGAAGTCGCCTGAATATTTGGAGTTTGTATCTCTCTCTCTCCCCATGGTCGCATGGATTTTTCTCCGGGTCCTCCGGTTTTTCCCTCCACATTTAGAAACGTGGGTTTAGAGTATACATTTCCACGTGATAAGCCACTGCGTTGAGCTATTGTTTGTGATAGCCAAGTCGCATCTGAAAAAGAGCAATACAGCTCAGTGGGCCTTACCTGGTAAATAAAAATATAGTTGAATATTCTTAATGGTTGAATGTGATTATGCATTGTTCTGTTCTGGGTGGTGAACTAAACACCGTTCACTGCAGGAGAGTTTTAAATTTTCCATTTGTCCATCATCATCATCAGGTACATTATCAGTATCAACTGCTACTGCCACGGTTTTGTGCGGATAGCGGGTTCGCGGTTGTGCCCTGCATCAGCTTCGCAGAAGATCCTAAGCCAGGGATCTTCTGCATTGGATCTTTCACAAGGCGACTTTCAAGTATATATACACATCTGGGTGACGGTACTAGCCAATTCAGAGGACACATGCACACGTTCTCCCTCTGTAACATTCAAGCCGAACAACCTGCTGGTTTTGTGTAGCGATGTTGTCAGGACGTGTGTACTGCACTGCCAGTAAAAAATACCAGTTTAGAAAATGTCACGGTCGTGGTTCAAAAAAATAATCTGATGTCCCTCTCTCGTAGACTCACTCTGCCCCCTACCTGTGCTTTGCGATGGAGGTACATTCCTCAACGAACTGCTCTATAAATCATACAGGGAGATTCAGGGAATTATCTCTCGCACTGCATCCCATCTTAAATAACACTTCGTCGCGCTGGTCGCTGGCAGTGTGAAAGCCCTTCCTGTTGTTGACCAAATTCCCACTCCAAATCTGAAATGTGATCAATCTCACTCTGGGTGTCAGGCAGCAGCTGTTGTCGTCAGCTGTGATTGTATCCTGTGCGGTATCGTGGATGCACCAGTTGGCAATACGCACGCCTCCTTCACGTACTGTATCTGTCCCCCTCCGCATGCATGTGTCTTATGTATTTTATTTACACATCCCATCAACAACTAGTCATTCCAGCAGCATCGCTTCAACGCAAGCCACAACTGGGCCGGTTTGTACGGGGCAGTTCAGATGTCGTGTGACCCCAAATTAATAGACCACCTAATATTTGTGTTTTCTTTGCACATTCATTTCTGTTTAAAAAAGTACTTACTTTAAAAAAAATGTTTTTAGAGAATTAAATGGGGGGGGGGGGGGGGGGGGGGGGGGGGGGGTGGGGGGTCACAAGCCATCTGGACCACCCTGTACTTCGTTGCGGCTGACGGGATGATGTTTAACGAACCGCACTTTTAGTTGTAAGTGGAGGCGCACATGTGCCAAAGGAGGATTATTGCCCTCCTCCCTGACTATTTTGTCACCTCGTTAAAACTCCGGGACGACGACGACGACGCAGTATGGCCCTGCGTCGTCGTTTTGCAAGCGCGCCATCGATTTCGGGGGCTTTGTATGCGCGTCGTCCCCAACGGTGACCTCGGGGTGCGCGGTGCCTCTTTTTGCCGCGGTCCCTCGAAGGCTGCGCGAGAGTTTTGCGATTTTTGCCGCGGACCCCCCCCCGCCCGCCTCTTCCTCCTCCCACCCCCCGAATCCCGGTAGTGAAAGGAACGCCGTGGACAAGTTTGGTAAGACGCGAAATAGACACGGAGGGTCAGAGAGACACAGAGAGACAAGAGAGAGAGACACGCACGCACACCACAGGGGATAGATACAGAGACACAGGAGAGATGGGGACACGGAAGCGATAAAGGAGATCGGCGAGAGACGGAAAGAGATGGTGGACCGTCACGATGACTTTGGGGCCTTACGAGTAAAATATTACCTCACCCCCCCCCCCACCCAAGTTTGATACTATAACGTGTTGTTTCAGGGGCGTTTATAGAACCCCCCCCCCCCCTGACGTCTGCTTCACCGTGGACAATAATAATAAAGATCATTTGGCAAAGAGCTGGCTTGGCCCACCGTGGGCCGGCGTCCGTCTCCAAACGTCGCCAGTTAACAACGCAAACGGCCGCATTTTGATTTTCACGTGGCGAGCATCGTCCCCTGCTGGGGGACAAGACTTCATGCCACTCGTCGATTAAAAGGGGACTTGGACTTCCTGTGGGAGGGGGCGGGGGACCCTCTGAGTTCTCGCCTGGTTAAAACCATATCGTCTTAAAACCTTTAAACGGTGAACGTCGCACTCTGAACGTGTCGTACAACTTGCTACGGCACCGCAGTGTTTAGAGACTGTGCGAGATCTGTGAAGCCTTTATACAGTCCTTCAGCATTTATTATGCTTCAGCGCCTCTCTAATCCTATAGAAAAGATAATGAATTCCCAGGAATGCATCGTACAGTACGGTGTATTGGACCGGTTTGCACACATTGCCATCGGCGTATAAGTCCACCTGCTGGATGAAAGGCCTCCCAAACCGCCCACCATCCAGCGCATGTGCCATGAGCCGAATCCGGTGTCGTCTCTGGAAGGCCTCTTAAGACACGTGCCATTAATTGGCTTCCACTCCGCTTTAAATCCGTTGGCTATCGTCCGTCACTCTCCCGAGGCGACCGGCTCAAGCACACTTTAGAGTTTGGATTATGTAATTAGCCTTGCCTTGTGCTTTCATCCATCTGGTTATTATCTGTATCTCAATGTGATTACCAAGCATGCATCTGTCCACGCTTGTCTGGGCACCTTTCAGATTTTGTTATATATTTTTTTGCGAATTGTGATTCTGAATGATATGCACGGCAATAAGTGTTGTGCACTGATTACACATTTTCTTCTGCAGGCACATCGGTATGTTTACTTCGAATTACCAAGTTCAGCTTTGCAAACGCTCTCCAACCTACTCTCGTCCGCCTTGAATAGCTGACCCAGGTACATATACTCCACGCTGTTCCATTTGTCTCCCTCAAGACAAATATCGAAAGAAATTCAACATACATAGATATCGCTGTCTGTTGAGCTAACTTGTTGTACATGACCTCTGTTTCTCTTGATTTATTCTGAGTATATTCTGTATTTCATGATAGACATACAACTACAATACCCCCTATAAACCATCGTAAATATTGTACTGTACAACATTAACTTAATTGACTACAGACCTGGGTTTAATAGTAAATTGCATCTGGTGTTGATTTAATCTAAAAAGCAGTTGATTAAGGCAACAGGATACTACCACCTCAACTATCTATCATTCCCTAGAAATGGCTCAAGTGACCCTTCTATGGAGTGTGACGTTTTAATTGGCGAGGAGTAGACGTTGGAAAATGACTTGATCTTTTGTTGTTGCAGGTGTCCCGAAATTACTCTTCCCATGATGGGCCGTGAGCGGACAAACCCTTTTCGCAGATTTTTCAAATACGACCCCGCCAAAGGTGCATCTATGTGTACCATTGGCGGCTGCCAAAGGGTTATGTCGGGAAACCACGGGGCCAATCTTGAGCGACATGTTCGCCGCTTCCACCCTGAAGAGTTTCATTTGGCGACCACCAATGTGAAATGCGAAAAGGAAGATGGGCCTCCATATGACTATGGGGAGCCTTCAAGCAAGAAGCCATGTCTCACACCAGGGACACTTCAGATACCTATCGATTCTATGGTATTCAAGAAGCCCAAGTGTATCCCCGTAAAAATTACCGCTGACCAAATCCTTGATGCCTGTACGGAGCTCGTAACCCTGAACGGTCACCCTTTTTCTCTTATGGAGGACTCTGGGTTCAGGAAACTCATTGACCCTGTGCTCAAGGGATTAGGAGGCTCCCTGGTTATCAATGCTGAAAACATTCGGGAGAACGTGAGCGTTGTTGCCGCTGCAGTGCGTAGTCATATTAATATGGAGTTGAAGGACAAACTCATCTCTTTGAAAGTGGACAGTGCTTCATATCTCGATCGCTCTGTCTTGGGGATCAATGCACAGTATGTCCGTGATGGAGAAATCGTAATGCATACCCTCGCGATGAAGGAAGTTAAAATAAGCCACAGTGGGGAAAATCTTGCAGCCATCATTGTAGATGTGCTGCACGAGTACAACATTGATGTGGGGAAGGTCTATACAATCACAACAGACAACGGTTCCAACATTATTAAATCACTTTCCCAGGGACAAATGGAGAAAAATTATGGTGATGACTGTGATGAAGAAACGGAGGAAGCCATTGCAGAAACGGAGGACATCATGGAGAGTCTCGAGCGGTCGAAACTGTGCTTGAGTGAGATAGCGGGCCCACATTCGGTAATGAGAGGAGTGCACTGTGCAGCTCATACGTTGCAGCTTGCCATCGACGACTTTCTCAAGGAGCCCTCTATCGCTAACCTTGTATCTAATGCCAGGCGGGTCTGCAAAAAATTGAATATAAAGATGCCTGTTTTCAACTGCTATACCAGGTGGCAGTCAATTTTTGACATGCTGGAATGTATCCTCGAACTGAAGGACTTCTGCCAGTACATGGCCATGTCTAACCCTGATCTAATGCTTGATGATAATGTTTGGGATCGTATTGAGTGTCTGCTGGCGGCTTTAAAGCCTGCAAAGATGGCGACAAAACATTTCCAGACAGAGCAATTGACCATCGGGGATGTTTACGGAGCGTGGATAAAATGCCATTTGGAAACTGCCAATGTCAAGTCAATATATTCCGATGCTCTGGCGATTGCCATGAAGAAGTGCGAGAAGCAACTGTTGGACAGCGACGCCATTCTGGCCGCCGTCTACATGGACCCAAGGTATAGTGTCCTCTTGACGGACAGAGAAGCAGAAAAGGCGAAGCAGCACTTGTGTCAGACGTGGACTGCGGTGGAGCTGTGCAGCAGGCTTGCGCGTGATTTGCAGACCGATCGGTCATCGGACGACGATGGGACCGACCGAGAATGCGACGAGCTCGAGAGGTTCCTTCGCGAGAAAGAGGACTCTCGTCGCCATTCAGGAAATCTGGCTGCCGCGCCCGCACTTGGCATGCACATAGGAACGGTGCTGCAGGTGTTCGCGAACGAGCCTCGCCTTAAAAAGGATGCAAACGTCCTCATGTACTGGGAGAGTTGGAAGCATTCCAAGCCAGAGCTCTTTCAGCTAGCTCAGCTCTCTCTTTCAGTCCCTGCAACACAGATCAGTTATGAGAGGGTGGTCTCTGCCCTCAGTGTAATTCTCTCCCCTCATCGATGCAATCTCGACAATGAGACGCTTGAAGATATATTGATGGTGCAACTCAACAAGAAATATGGACATTAGCGCATTTCTGTTTCATTTCCAGACTAACATTTTGGTATATTTTAATGGCATGCATTTACACTCAAGTATGACTGTATATATAGGTATAGTGTGTATGAAATGCGTGTAGGTGTTAGTAATGTAAAACTGAACTGAACTTGAATAGTTTGAGTGCTGTTTTTGATCTATCGGTATTTGATGTGTGTGCTTTGCTGCTGTTTGTACAATGGAACTTTGTTGGAAGATGGAGATTAAAAATGTTAGTGATGAAAGATTAAGAAAAAACTTGCGTCTTGGAACATGAGCGAGGCATTGGGTAGGACATCAGAAATTAAGTAATTGATAATGCTTCACTTACCGGTATGTAATTGCATTCAAAGCAATTGGTTCATCTCCCCGCATTGCACAATGAAATTCCTAAAATCAGTAATGCTCCTCAATCTCGTAACCCATCGCCTGCTTCTCCACAGTACACAAGGTGCCTTCGTTTAACGCCCAATGTATATGATTTGTAAAACACTGCTTTGGATTATCCAGTTTTTTTCTTTTTATTTAAATGTATTTTAAATAAACTCACGAATGTTTGACTCGGCTAATATGGATGTATATGTGGAGAACTTCTGGACCAATATTGGTTCCAATGAATGAGATGTAATTGTAAAGCTTATACTGTATGTATATTATGCAAGTGAGGTCATGTAAATGAGGCAATAACACAGGTCTGCACAGATGAGTTCATGTACTCGCTTTCCCGATGCAGGCCATCGTTCACTGCATGGAGCATGGTCACCCGCTGTGCACGGGCTGCAGTAGAGTTGCAATTTTAGTGGTACGGTGCCAAATTGATCGATGTGGCAATTATCGGGATATCAGTTTCCTGTAACTTTTTTATTGTATTTCCATTTGTATTGTATATATGTGCTTTGCTGTGCCTCCAGAACGAATTGATTACTTCAAATGTATTCAACTGTAGTTCACTTAACATAAGCCTACCATACACGTCTTCTAATCATTACCAACGCTACAATCTTCAGTGCTTATAACGCATATGCGGTAAATTCCTCTGAGCATTACTTTACAAAGCACAATTTTAATAGATAATATATACAAAACGTTTTATACAAATAAAATTAGCAATAATCGCGAGACAAACAGACGATTTGACTAACATTTAGATGTATGATAGATCGTAGGACACTTTCACCATATCCCGGGCAGCCCTAATGTGCAACTCAACTGCTGTGTACTTCACGGGCTGCCCTCTGAGGTCACGTGACAGTGAAGAGCAATTGCTCTGCGGATGTGTGAGATTGTAATGCATATGTATGCATATGTACACTACGCATATAAGTGTGCATATGCCTGTACAATCCAAGCTGGATACAGACAATCGGCACAGATCTGATATATCCTTACATTAGACTGGTAGTGGCAAGGCAAAGGGCAACTTCTGACACAAGCACAGTCTTTTGATTATAAGCACATGTGTGCTTGCTCCCAAGGGTTGTACTTATATGCAGCCTCTGCTGTAGACTGTGCTATATATGTATATACACTGCACACCAGCCATCATTTACCCCAAAGTGACGGTGTAAGGACACTGAGGCCATTGTTCAGTTATGAAACTATCCATCAGAAGATCACAAGACAATCTGAGCTGCAATTCGTGGGCAGGTTCCACCAGCTATTTTGCTATGTGGCAGATTGTCGCCAATATTCAACTTTGTTAGAGAATATTTCACATTCTATTGTATTTTATGTGCGCTTTGCTGTACTGTATGTTTAGTCCGAATAAATATGGCTTTAAGGTTTTTCAAAAGCAACCGAAAGATCACATTTCACCCCAGCTTAGTCTGTTATTGTGGAGTAGGCATGGCAAGGGCAGGAATTTGCATGGGGTTTGTTAAGTGTTGCCTCTCCCACCACGTGGTGGATTATTCATTAAAATTGTAGTAAAGCCGAAAATAATATTCTGGCCCCATTCTCCCAGAACCAGTGTGTGGTGTAATAAGCAGTTCTCACCAGAGACAAGCCTGTCCTGTACATTCAATAAACGCACGATGTTTGCAAGTTCCTATTAAGGCCAACACGGTTCATGAGGGGTGGTGTGGCAATGTTAAAGTGGAAGAAAGGAACCACTGTTTTGCTACATGCTTATGCAGATGTAAGATATCGGATTTAGTTTTTTGCATGTTTTGATTTTGTCTCTTTTGAATGTTTTCCCCCCCGATATCTTTCTAAAGTCTCCCTTGAAAGAGCTGTGTATCGATGAATATTTACTTTGTTATATATAAACAGTATCTATCTTGCTGTTGTAATATTGTACAGTACATATATACATAGAATAAAACAGACAATGTAAGTAATATACGCTATGTTCGCCTCATAAAAACACGCATACAAGAAAGCTTAAGTTACGTTTCGATTTAAAGCTTTAGTGACTGCAGGGATTCATCTTCTTGGTTCTTTCGGTAAAGTCACGTAGAATGGAAATAAAATAATAAAAATAAAACATAACAAAATAAAATTCTCACGACGTTTCGGCCACAACACAAGTAGCCTTCTTCAGGTGAAGGAACAGAACTGTCGGGACGACAGCGCTTTATTGAAATGATGGCTGGTGTGTCATTGAAGCGCTGTCATCCCGACAGTTCTGTTCCTTCACCTGAAGGCTACTTGTGTTGTGGCCGAAACGTGAGAATTTTATTTTATTATGTTTTATTTGTATTATTTTATTTCCATTCTACGTGACTTTACCGAAAGAACCAAGAACATAAGTTATGTTTTAATATTATGTTCACTGCAGTACAATGCATTCATTCATACAAATGAATGATTACGCATATACAACCGGGTGTCTTTTCATCGGGGTCGTCCATAAATGACGTCACGCACCTAGGGGGGGGGGGGGGGGGGGTGGACAGACATTTGTGACGAGGGGGGGAGGTTTGAGAAATGTGACGTCACATGAAAATGCGCAACTTTAAATACATAGACAACACGTTCTACGTAATTAAATAGACTTTTTAATAAATGTTTTCTCCTACAACATCAGAGTACAGCGCCACATTAAATACGCACTACAGTGACAATAGTTTAAAGCGATTTAAAGCGTGTGTGTTTTTTTTGGGGGGGGGAGGGGCAGAGCTTTGTGACGTCATATTTGAGGGGGGGGTCTCAGTTTTTGTGATGCCGTGTGACGACGGGGGGGGGGGGAAATCATCCAATATCGCGTGACGTCATTTATGGACGGCCCCATATTGATGTGTTTGTGAAGTATGAATGTTGGCATGATAAGTTAAACTTCCTAATGACATGGACACAAATGTCCAGACATACAACAGGCCCACCCGCGTGAACAAATGTCCTACGAAGCCATCGCCATCTTTCACAATCTCGCGAGGCACCATTATTCCATCTAGCTCCTTTACACGAGCTCACGCCTTTGTTTCATCTCGAAGGTGGATGTCGTCTCGGATGTGTTTGTGGGGAGCGGTAGCGGTCAGCGGTCAGCGCGCTGCGCTACGAATCCGCCAGCGGACCGAGTTCGATTCCCGCTCATGGCCAAGACCGGTGGCGATTTATCTGAACCGGTCATCGGCCTCCACTAGATCCGACTCAGCCTCATATGAGTACCTGGTGTGGTGTGCAAACATCACCACTTGGGAGACAAAGGCTGCCGGGCGGGGTGTTGGCCACCCACCCCCTCGTGTGCCGTGCCGACCTTCATAGGTGCTCGCTAACAGGCTATATGGGGGGGGGGGGGATATTTGTCTTTGATCTCTCCTTCAACTGTCTTCATCCCCATAAATGCATGCGTGAACACCAAGAATAGCAACGCACTGCTCCGAGACTCAAAACACCGCGCTCCACGTCTGCTTGTTAAGCCCCCTATGGTGTGGATTCCTATCAAGTTTCTTCCTCTTTATCAGCTGAGATAAGAAACCGTGTTACTTCCGGCCAAAGTGGAAATTAGCCAAAAAGCGGGCGAACAATCACAACAATTGATCCCTCACATGCACGTATGTACGTGTGCACACTTAGCATGCTGTATTTGTTGAAAGAAACAGACGAGTCAAGGTTATAATACACCTGTTAGTTTACCAAAGTGTTTAACTGTTTTACTTGGGGTGCCCTCATAACAGGTAGAGGCAGCCACCAGAGGACATGCCGACTACAAGTCAGAGCAACAAAAAATAAGTAATATTAAAAAAAAACTTTTTTTATATTAAAAAAAACGTTCTTTTTAAACACGTTTTCATGAAATGTACTAGTAATGGAAGAATTACACGACTCCAGTAAGTGGCCCCGTGGCCAATTACAGCCAACGTCAGTTGACCGTGGATAATTAGAGCCAAGCCCAAACATAACGTATACAAAATAATGTAAAAAAATTATGCTAGAATATAGTAATTGTCATCAGTATGACATATATACCAAGTTTTCAGTTGATACCACATTGGGAAGTGGGTTAAAATTGAGTTACAAGATTTGAGAATACAACAACAGACAGTGAGTTAAATGAAAGCGTGTAAAAATGCTGGATCAGGTACTGACCAGAAACCTGAACCAGGTATCCAAACAAGGTGGAGCTCAAGATATAGGAATAGGTTTTACCCTTTTAACTGGCACAAAAACTGACACCTTTATTCAAGGCATCATGTTTGCAATAACCACAACACAAGCAGTCAAAATGCAAACAAAAAAGACAACTCTGATAATAATATGCACTGTCCTTGAATTTGATTGGTCTACACCCGAGACAGCTTTTCTTAGAGCCTAGTCTCCATTGGTGTTGGACCAGAAGACGCCAAAAGGCGTACAACTCAAAAACAGCGCACTATCAGAGTATTGAGGGCTCGGGGTGAGCATTTACATTATGAGACCTCCTTTGCCAGAAACAAGATATAGGAATAGGTTTTACCCTTTTAACTGGCACAAAAACTGACACCTTTATTCAAGGCATCATGTTTGCAATAACCACAACACAAGCAGTCAAAATGCAAACAAGAGACAACTCTGATAATAATATGCACTGTCCTTGAATTTGATTGGTCCACACCCAAGACAGCTTTTCTTAGAGCCTAGTCTCCATTGGTGTTGGACCAGAAGACGCCAAAAGGCGTACAACTCAAAAACAGCGCACTATCAGAGTATTGAGGGCTCGAGCCCTCATTACTCAGTTAAAAGGGTAAAACCTATTCCTATATCTTGTTTCTGGCAAAGGAGGTCTCATAAAGGTGGAGCTCCTTCAGAATACCCGGTGGTGCTTCCCCCGTGCAGTGTTTAGGACAGATCGTGATTTCAGAGACCTTCCACCTACAGTGGGATCTATTTATTTGTGGTGCACTGCGCTGTGATCCTGGGACCTGACATTAATTCCCGTTCACAGGTAACATTGCTGGCAAGTGGAATGTTAATCTATTTTGGGCCTCTCTACGTAAACCTAGCCTTAGACTCATTTCTGACGTGGTAGGCAAACATTAGGGAGACAAAGGCGGTCGGGAAATAGTGCCCACCACATTACTCATTTGAATGTGTCCTTGCAGGCCTAAGTAGGTGCTCACGAACATCACGTTCCCCAATATACTATAAGCCTAAACAGGTGATAGTTGTCGTGTGTGTGTGTGTACACAGACATACAATACAACTTTGATTTTGGCAGCTGTATAAGGTATCAGGTTTAGAAATAAATAATATTACTCTGAACATTTTTTAAACTTTATTTGGCTGCTCCTACAGCTAGGTACCTCGTGGCAATGGTTTTAATAATGGTGTAAATGTGAATGCAATAGCTATGTCTCAGAGGTTAGCACGCTGTGCTATGAACCTCGTGGGCCAAGTTCGATACCCAGCCAGGGCTAACATCAGTGAAGATTGATAACTGAGTCGGTCCAGGTGGTGTGAAGTATGGTAAAACAAAAATGCCAGTGACCAAGACGGTGTGAGTAGGCTTTCATCTAGCAGTGGATTGACAACATTTCGTAAATTGTTATTATTAACTAGCCTCATAACATCTGCACTGAGGCCCTGGTGACTAGCCAATGCCTTTTTTGACTCGTGTTATATTGACAAACAAAGGTGGCTGGAGAAAACCCATATTCGTGGAATAATACTATAAATGTAATTAATGATTGGTAGGTGATGTAAGTCATATTTTTTTATTAGAACAAACTGCTTTACATTTTATTTGTACGATTCAAACGGTTTTACCAAATAGCATACTGATGAGATTAATGAGACATTCAAAGGAACGACATCTGATAATTAATTGACTAATGCATAGACTGACAAAGGCATGAACAGCATTAACTCGAATAATGATGTGAAGCATATGAAAGCAATGTATGCTAACATGGATTAATGTTGCATGTGACGCAGTTAATAACACGAGTGAATTCAATAATAAGAGTATTAATAATTATTATTTGACATACAGTAGCTGCATGCTAATTAAAGGCGTCACATGACTGCACGCTTGAAGCCCCGTTTAGGACGCCCATCTCTTGCCATGGTAACAGCTGCTCAATAAGGCGCACACCCCCTCTCAAAGAATAGCCGAACCCGGCCTCCAGCGATGATGAATGAGATCGCATGGCCAAATGCTGAACACAAATTTGAGATTCAGTTCTTCGTGATTTTAGCCATTCAATCACTGTCTGAGAGTTGGTGAATTGCGGATGCACCCATCCACTCACTCACCCACCCACCCACTCACTTACCCACTCACTCCACTCACCATTTACTCACCTGCCACCCTTAAAGTTTAAATTTAGGGCAGTGCGAAGTTATACGCTCTGTAGTTTAGTGTTCGTTTGTCCATCAGGTGTCCGCATCTTCCGTGGCTTGTGTGGATCTGCATATAAGTGTCGCCCACTGTTTCCGTGGAAGATGTAAGGCCGGGTAGCCTTGTGGTAGGGTCGCTCGCCCGGTGTTTGTGGTATTGCGATTCGCCACTTGTTCCAGAGGTTCTCGGTTCGAATCCAGTGACGGCCGTGATTAATACCGGGGGTGTAATGACCATAGCGATACGTGTCGTTTGAGTCGAAGTTAAAGAATCCATTGTCATCGCAAGAGTAGGCCACTGTGTGCCAGTATCATGGTAAAAATTTGCCCAACTTGCAAATTATTTGCTCTAATTAAAATATACAGATTTAAAAAAAAACTTGGCAGGATCCTCCTGAAAAGTTAACAGACTCAATGAGGCTTTTCTGAGTAAACAGTCGTAATAATAATAACAACATAAAAGGCCTTCCCCAAGGCTGTGTTCTATGTACACTCTCGCATGAAGAAAAAAACATTTACTTAAAATCAACTGAAAAAGAGTGTTCGGACACATTGCGGTTTTTTTTTCCGAGTAAAGTCCATCCAGATAAAGTGTGAGTAATTAAGGAAGACGTTTCATATGTCACATTTGAAGAAGTGAAAACTGCATCTTCGCAATATGCAAAAAAGGGAAAGCTGCCGGACCAGATGGAATAACTTTGGACATTTTCAAAGAAGCAGGACCAGATGTTGAACCAAAATTAGCAGATTTATTTTACAAATATAAACAGAATTGAAAACTCAATTGTGGAATGATGTGTTAAGTATAATTTAAAAAATATATATACAAAACTGATTTGAAGAATTACAGACCCAGACACTTTTACAAATTGTTCGCCAATCCGAGGGACAATCGAACCACGATATTCTGGCCTCACAACACATATGAATCTGACTCGGGGCTAAGCAGAGCCTCGGATATTAACATTGATCATATGAATCATCATGGTGCCTTTGTCTGGCTCTCGGAGCCTCGGACATTGACAACGAATCACACGAACCCTAGCGGGTTGGGTGCCTTCGTCTCGGCTTTCTGAGCCTCGGCAATGTTTCCCATGAACGTTGCGGTGACAATTCACCGCTTGTGTTCGTATAGACGCGTGGCCTTGGCTGGCGCACACTCTGTCATACCGCTGACTCAGTGGGTGTCACAATTGCCTCGCGGAGCGACGCGTTGACACAACACACGACAAGCCTCCGGTGACATCACTGCTCTCCCATCACCACCACCACAACCACCACAACTCTCCATCCTCAACCACGCCTCCGTCCCTCCCAGCAAGGATATAGTTACCCACCCCCCTCTACATTTGCAGCCATCACTCCGCCCCATGCTTGCCCATAGCTTCTACGAATTCACCCCCCCACCCCCCATCATCATTCGTGAGCTGACAGTTGTGGAAGTCATTAATTGGAAACGCTAACTGCAGTCTCAGGGTCTTCTCGGTCGTCACTGCCACTAAAGAAAGGTGAGTGCGTGCGTGCGTGCGCACAACAGACCAAGAGCACCGTGATGTTACCGTGATTGAAGGGTCGTCCATCGAAACGTCGGTTTTTATTGTGAAAAGCATTACAGCGATACGGAATTATATTGAAACGCACGCATTTTAACCGAACACACGACCCCTACCGTTTCAGCGGTTTGATTTATTAAAATAATTATTTGTAATTTAAAAAAGTGCTTAAGTAAAGAATAAATCAGTGTAAGAATTGAGCGTCTTTGTGTGTTTGCTAAACAGCAGTCACCCCAACAGCTTTGTTTAAGGGGGGGCCTTTGTTTTTGTATACTGCGTACGTATTCCCGAGCGAATTTAGAAGTGTTTGTGAAACGTGTGCGAGTGTGCTTGTTGTCGTTATTGTTGCTATGATGATAATAAAGGCAAAATTAGGCGGCTAGCAAACTGGGTCTGTCATTGGCATAATTTGTGTTACAAGTTCTGTTTCCTATGCTTTCATGCTTTTGAGCAAATAGTGACAAAGCATCCGATTAAACAATCTACGATTAACAGAATAGTCTAGAAAGAGTCTCTCGGAATAAATAAGTAAATCGATGGCACGTTATTTATTAACAGCAACTATGTTTTTCTTCCTATAAGTACGTACATCATACCACATTTTCCATATTACAAGTCACACTCCCCCCCCCTAAGATTTAAAGTAATCTTTGGGACTGTGTCTTATAATCCGGTGGCTGTATCTGTGTGTGTGTTACCAGATATTAAAAGCTTAATCAACACAGGGCACGATATTGGGGTTGCTTCTTATTTTCCGGCGCGTCTTACATACAATGCGGTGGAAACGCGTTAACGATATTGTACAGGGACTAATGTTGTGTCTGATTTAACAACAACAAAAAACCGATACATGTTTTAAAAAATGAACTTATATATTAAATACCTGGCTTAAAATAGCCATAAGCATCGTTGTGGAGAGCACAAGGAATAACAGAGATAAGCAAACGTTGATATCTCCCCCACATACAAAAAATGAAAGTATTTGTTAAGAAAGCCATCGGGCCCACAGCCCTTTGGCAGCGAATATTATTCAAATTTGAGGAGCATTGATTCATGGGAAGCTCTGGACCGGTTTAGATCTTCAAGGTCTCATCAGCAGACGCAAGCTTGCTTAAATCAATGATGATGAACCGCCAGATGTTGTAGCTAGAAGCAAGGGTCCTCTCTCTATAAGATATGGGTCCCAGTTTGACACGAAATTATATATATAGTACTGTATTACATAACTCAAGTGTCGATGTCGCGAACATAGAGGTATACAGGCAATATATTTGTCCTACATTGATCTGTTTTCTCAGTTCCATTTAAAGAAACATTTTTTTACACGGCTACCCGATGCACGTTACAAACGTTTACGATGCTTGTTGAACGCGAGCTGCAGTAAATTTAATCCGAATCTTCTGTAAACTCTTGAGTCAAGAAAACTCTTTGAGAGTTGACAACTCGCCTTGGCTAATTGCGACGTGACAACATCAAGCTCGGGGCTCCACCATCGATTTATCGAAACGTCTAATCTCTCTCTCGTTAGCAAACAAACAATATATACAACCACGAATATAACCTTAAAATGCGGTGCGGGTGTCTGTTTTTTTGGTTTTGTTAAAATTGTTTCAACTTGATTTGGAGCTTTCGTTAAAGTCACGTAGAAAGAAAAATAAATTAAATAATAGCATACGACGTTTCGATTGTAACACAAGCAATCATCGTCAGGTACGAATGAATGAGAAAACAAACCTAGTAAACTTGGAAATATAATGGAATACAACACAGAGAGTCGGCTAACATAACAGTCAACACCCCACCTGGTTGATTTAAGTTCTTCCAAAGATTGCTAAATTTGAGAGAGAGACAAAACACAGACACGGAGACACACAGACAGACACACAGAGACACACAGAGAGAGACACACAGCATAGACACACAGACAAACACGCAAGCAGAGAGAGACACACAACATAGACACACACACAGACACACAGAGACAACACAGAGACACACACAGAGAGAGACACACAACATAGACACACAGACACACAAGCAAAGAGAGACAATACAGAGACACACACAGAGACACACAACATAGACACACAGACACACAAGCAGAGAGAGACAACACAGAGACACACACAGAGAGAGACACACAACATAGACACACAGACACACAAGCAGAGAGAGACAACAGAGACACACAGAGAGAGACACACAACATACACACACAGAGACACACAGAGAGACAACACAGAGACATACACACAGAGAGACACACAACATAGACACACAGACACACAAGCAGAGAGAGACAACACAGAGACACACACAGAGACACACAACATAGACACACAGACACAAGTAGATAGAGACAACACAGAGACACACAGAGAGAGACACACAACATAGACACACAGACACACAAGCAGAGAGAGACAACACAGAGACACACACAGAGAGAGACACACAACATAGACACACAGACAGACACACAGAGACAACACAGAGATACCCAGAGAGAGACACACAACATAGACACACAGACTGACACACAAGCAGAGAGAGACAACACAGAGACACACACAGAGAGAGACACACAACATAGACACACAGAGAGACAACACAGAGACACACAACATAGACACACAGACACAAGTAGATAGAGACAACACAGAGACACACAGAGAGAGAGACACACAACATAGACACACAGACACACAAGCAGAGAGAGACAACACAGAGACACACACAGAGAGAGACACACAACATAGACACACAGACAGACACACAGAGACAAGACAGAGACACCCAGAGAGAGACACACAACATAGACACACAGAGAGACAACACAGAGACACACAACATAGACACACAGAGACACACACAGAGAGAGAGGCACACAACATAGGCACACAGAGAAACATTAAAATGGTTTGTTGACAGGGCATGTTAAAGCAGGCGACTGAAGTTAGCACGTTTGCGTAAGTTAACCGTCGGCAGGGCAACTGTGTCAACTTATAAAGTGGGAGGAGGTGGTCGCGGAACAAACAAAGATTAGCGCGTTCACAACAAGAACCACCATCACCACCGGCTGTTGCTTGGCGTTCGGATGTACCGCGTGAATTCGTGAACGAAACCACCAAAACTTTGGGTGGTTTCGTGTGTCTCTCTGTCGTGAACTTGACCGCCAAGCTTCGTGTGTTCGACTCCCGGCCAGGGCTATTGGGGGACCCCCCCCCCCACATCCTTCGCCGTCACCCTTCCACCAACTCCCTGCTTGGTGTGAAGTACAATCGTGCCGCCGTAAGTTACAACGATGCGTAACTACAGTACCATCACGGTACTGTAGTTCTTAAGTGTTGTTGTTGTTGTCTGTGCGTACGGAGATTGTCACGTACATCGACGCGTGTGTTGTTGTGTGTAAGGGGTTGTGTTGGTGTGTATGTGTGTGTGGCCCGATTCCCCGTGCCACCTGAGTTGGATTCCCGCTCAGGGCCATCTCGAACAGCGGTGGCGACGATTCTATCGAATCTCTCTGCGTCCTAAGCATCGCCACTGGGGGAGACAAAGGCGGCCGGGCGCGGCTTGCCGGCCACAGTTGCCGGGCCCGCACGTGTTGCCTTCCACAACAGTCTGTGGTTGAAGGCAACACGTGCATCTTTGTACAGTATACAATAATATTATATAAACTATCAAGAGTCTGCCACTTGTCTCCTGTAGCCACGGTGACGACGGGGGTTGTGTTGATGGGGTTGTGTCTTGTGAGGCTGTGCACACAACCTACACCCCACACACACTACACCCCACACACACTACACACACTCCACTACACACACTCCACTACACCCCACACACTCCACTACACCCCACACACTCCACTACAAAGACCCCCCATATAGCTTTAACAGACTGTAGGGGCAAGTGCTGTTAGCGAGCACCTATGAAGGCCGGAACGGTACACGAGGGGGTGGGTGGCCAGCACCACGACCGACCGCCTTTGTCTCCCCAGTGGCAATGTTTACACACCTCACCAGGTACTCATTTGAGGCTGAGTCCACCTAGGGGAGGCCCGGGACCGGTTCAGATAATCGTCACTGGTGTTGGCCGTGAGCGGGAATCGAACCCGGGTCGCCAGGTTCATAGCGCAGCGTAGCGCTAACCGCTACACTACCGCTCCCCACAACACACACTACACACACTCCACCCCACACACACTACACCCCACACACACTACACACACTCCACTACACACACTCCACTACACCCCACACACACTACACCCCACACACACTCCACTACACCCCACACACACTACACACACTCCACTACACCCCACACACACTACACCCCACACACACTACACCCCACACACACTACACCCCACACACTACACCCCACACACACTACACACACTCCACTACACCCACACACACTACACCCCACACACACTACACTATACCCCACACACACTACACTACACCCCACACACACTACACACACTCCACTACACCCCACACACACTACACACACTCCACTACACCCCACACACACTACACCCCACACACACTACACACACTCCACTACACCACACACACCACACTTACCCAACCACTCTACCATGGGAGCGGTGGCGCAGTGGTTAGCGCTCGCTCATCTACGAACCCGGCGACACGAAGTTGGATTCCCGCTCACGGCCCAGTAACAGTAGCGAATATCAGAACCCTTCCTGGGCCTCCTCCCGCAAACCTTCAATGAGTGCCTGGTGCGGTGTGTAAACATCAGGCCTGGGGGAGACAAAGGCGGCCGGGCGTGGTGTCGTGCCGGCCTTATAAGGTGTCTCATTACGAGTCTGTTAAACTCTTAAAGGGATCTACAGAGACTTCATCCCCAGCACACTAACCACTTAGAACAACCTCTTCCCGCATTTGGCGTTTACCATCGCATGATCTCGGAAGCTCAGCAAGGAT